TGTGCTCCAGACCAGCATATCCAGTGTCTGTGCATCAGAGGCATTCAGTACGTCCAAGGCTCATTTTCTTCCCCCAAATACATTCTTGCATTTTGTAGTCCCAATTTTGGCTAACGGTGACACCATGTTTCCAGCATTAAAGCTAGAATCTCATCCTTTCCTTTCTTTCTTTAAAAAAACTTGAAACACTTTTATTGAGATGTAATACACACACCATATAAGTCATCCCTTTAAAGGATACGATTCAGTATTTTTTAGTATGTTCACAGAGTTGTTCTAATATCACCACAATCAAGTTTAGAACATTTTATCACCCCCAGAGAAACCACATACCTATTAGTAGTCACTCCTCTTTTCCTCCAACCACCCCCCACCCAAGCCTAGGCAATCGTTAATCTATTTTGTGTCCCTATACATTTGCTTATTCTGGATATTTCATAAATATGAAATCATACAATATGTGGTCTTTTGTGACTGTTGGCTTTCACTTAGCATAGTGTTTTCAAGATTCATCCATGTTTTATCAGTACTTCATTCTTTTTTATGGCTGAATAATATTCCATTATATGGATGTACCACATATTATTTATCAATACATTCATCAGTTTATGTACGCTTGGGTTGTTTTCACTTTTCGCCTATTATTGAAGACTGCTACTATGAACATTTGTTACAAGTTTTTGTGGGGACATATGTTTTCATTTCCCTTGGGTATATACCTAGGAGTGGAATTACTGGGTCATATGATAACTCTGTTTAACCTTTTGTGGAACTGCTGTTTCCCAAAGGGGCTACACCATTTTACACTCCTGCCAACGAGCGAGACTTCCACTTTCTCCACACATGTTATTGTCTGTCTTCTTGATTATAGCCACCATAGTGAGTATGAAATGGTATCTTGTGGTTTTGATTTGCATTCCCTAATGGCTAATGATGTTGAGCATCCTTTCATTTGCTTATTGGCCATTTGTGTATCTTCTTTGAAGAAATGTCTATTCCAATCATTTGCTCATTTTTGAATTGTGTTATTTGTCTTTTCATTTTTGGTTGTAAGACTTCTTTACATATTCTGGATACAAGTCTCTTATCAGATACATAATTTGCAAATATTTTATCCCATTTGTGAGTTTTTTCACTTACAAGGTATCAGTTGAAGTATAAAAGTTTTTGACTCATCTTTTTCTTAAGTTCTCCCCCCCCAACATCCAATTAGTCACAGATCTCACTGATTCTGTCTTAGAAATATCTCTGAAATGTACCCCAACAACCACTCGACTATACAACCTTCTTATTACTTCTCACCTGAATTAAAGCAAAAGCCACCAACTCCTATTCTCTTCTCTACATCCCCCACACCCGAGCCACTTGATCCTCCAGCTGCTTCCAAAAGGATCTTCCTAAAACACAAATTGAGCAGATCCAACTTCTTCATTCCAACTCGAGCAGTTCTCAAACTCCTCCAATAAGAATACCTGGAGCATTTTAACAATTCAGATGGCAGGTTCATAATCTGACACAGTAAATCAGAATCTCTAGGGGATGCGCCTGGGCACCTAGTTTTAATAAGCCCGCAGGTGATTCTCATTCTCAGAATAGTTTGGCCTAAAATGGCGGTTCTAAACTGGGGCTGATTTTGTCCCCCAGGGGACATTTAGCAATGTCTGGAGACATTTTTGGTGGTTACAAGTGGATGGTGGGGGTGTGACTATCATCTAGTGGCACTGGGGATGCTGCTAGACGTCCTACAATACACAGGGAAGCCCCCTCCAAAGAATTATTGGCTCCAAATGTCAACCATGCCAAGTTGAGAAACCCTGGCAGTGTTTGTAGGAGATAAAATACAAACTTTTGCATTTGAGGCTAGCCAGTTGGTCCCTAAATCTATCAAAGGTCTATTGCTCCATAGGAAACATCCTAAATTTAGTGCCTTAAAATGATTTACTATTTCTCACAATTCTGTGGGTGGACTGGGCAGTTCCGCTCTCTTACCTGGGGTTTCTTATGGAGAAGCTGTGATCCTGTTCAGTTGGGTCTCTCACTCCACATGGTCTTTCGCAGCGTGGAGGTTTTGGGGATACAAAGGGTGTGAGCTCTGCCATGTTCTGTTGATTCAAGAAGGTCACAAGACTGACCCAGATTCAAGAGGTAGGGAAATAGACTCTATCTTTTAAAGCAAGGAACTTGCAAAGAAATTTTGGCCGTATTAATCCACCCACCAGCCTACCTTTTCAATATGTCTCCAAGGGCCCAATGACTTCTAACCTAAGGGGGGACTGGCCAGGGAGGGGTGGGGCCAGAGCAGAATCTGAGGCTCTGGTTAGTGGCGGAGGAAGTACCCTTAGAAAAACTTCTCACAGACTTGTGTTAATCATGCTTCTTCTAATGACCTTTTCATTGGCATATAAATCAAAGGTTCTCAACCGTCTTGGTCCCATGACCTCCTTATGCTCAAAAACTATTAAGGATCCCAAAGCAATTTTGTTGATGTGGGTTATATCTATCAATATTTCCTGTATTGGAAATTAAAAATGAGACATTTAAAAATATTTATTAATTCATTTAAAAAAAGCAATAACAAACCTATTACAGGTTAACATGAAGAATATCTCAAAAATGAAAAATTCCTATATTTTCCAGAATATAAGTCAGTAAGAAGAGCGGCAACGTGTCCCATTTTCACACATCTCTTTTCTCGCGTTTGGCTTCACAGAAGACAGCTTGAGTCTCCTGTTTGCCTCTGCACTGTCTGTTGCAGCACCACATCACGCAGCTTGTGGAACACTCCACTATACACTCATGAGAAGACAGCAAAAAAGGCAAATCATGACTCTTATAATGAAAACGGTTTTGGGGCCAGCCCGCTGGCGCAGCGGTTAGGTTCACACGTTCTGCTTCTCGGCGGCCTGGGGTTTGCCGGTTCAGATCCCGGGTGCGGACATGGCACCGCTTGGCAAAAGCCATGCTGTGGTAGGCGTCCCATGTATAAAGTAGAGGAAGATGGGCACAGATGTTAGCTCAGGGCCAGTCTTCCTCAGCAAAAAGAGGAGGATTGGCAGATGTTAGCTCAGGGCTAATCTTCCTCAAAAAAAAAAAAGAAAGAAAGAAAATGGTTTTGACCTTGCAGACCCCCTCAAAGGGTTTCAGGAACCCCCAGGGGCCCATGAATCACACTTTAAGAACCACTGGTCTAAACCACCATCATGTTGAGATAGTGTCTTAAAAATGTTGAAAGGTGGGGCTGGCCCCGTTGCCGAGTGGTTAAGTTCATGCACTCCGCTGCAGGCGGCCCAGTGTTTCGTTGGTTCGAATCCTCGGCGCGGACATGGCACCGCTCATCAAACCACGCTGAGGCGGCGTCCCACATGCCACAACTGGAAGGACCCACAACAAAGAATATACAACTATGGACCGGGGGGCTTTGGGAAAAAAAAGGAAAAAAATAAAATCTTAAAAAAAAAAATGTTGAAAGGGTACTGCACTTGAAGAAGATACTCAGGCAAGCAGCTCTGTCAACTCACGGCCACACTTCTGCCCATCTCCTAACATTCATTTCATTCAGTTGCCAGCTCCGTTCATGACCTCACCTAGTGCAGGTACTCTCTGCTTATCCCTACCAAACTCCTACTCATCCCTCAAAACCCAGTATAACCACCTGCTCCTTGGTGAAGGCTTTCTTGACTCCTATGGGAGTTAAGGATTTGAATCCTGGCCACAATCCTAAATTCTGTCCATATAGTTCTTCTATCCAATGACAAGAGGATCGTGAACAGTTGCAAGTACCCCAGGCTGCAAAATTATTCCTAGTACCAGAAGAATCCACCAAATTGTTATAATTTACTATTTCCTTCCTTTCTTATATTTCTATAACAGCTTCCCATTTCCCACTAAGTCAACTACTCAATTTGGCTTTTAAGATCTATAATGATTGCCTCAAACTATCTAGTCTCCATTATAACTGGTCTCCATTATCAGAGATGATATCCTTGGGTAAAATCCTCTTTTGTTGGGTTAGCCCATTGTATGTTTTTAAAATTAAATTTGAATGTCTTTTAACAACACATTTCGAATACCTTTAGGCTCTGGACAAGCACCATCTAGTTTGCCAGTTCCCGTCCTATTGCTTACACTGGACTCAACTTTACATATTATATTCCTTGCCATGCCCCTGAAGCATCCGTTTGTCACCTCACAACACCTCACACTCTGTTCTTCAAACGCTGAACTGCATCTTCCAGTCTCTTTAGGAGAGCAGGAAAGTGCTTCCTTCTGTTCCCAGCATGCTTATGCACTCTTCAGTGCCCAAAACGAATGCCATCTCCTCCTTGGAGACTTCTTTCTGGCCTCTATCCTCTCTTCTACAATTAACCACTTCTTGTCCCAAAGGTCTACTGCAAAATACCTAACCCTTACAATGTCAGTCACATCAAAATCTCCCTTCTTCAAGTGAGATCTGACACGGGTGAGGATAGTGAGAAATTCACTTCAAGAGTAAACTTTAAAGGGGCACCAAAAAGCTCAGTAACCAAGATAAGCAACATTTTAATACTATATTTTTTAAACATCAAAATTAATGCAAAAAATTCTTGATGAACAAAACATCAACTATTAACTATTAAACAACTATTAAAGACAGGATCCTCAGGACTCAGTCTGCCTCCTACCTGTCGGTCCCAACCGAACCTCTCACTCATGGTAGATTTGAGTGACCTCGAACTATGCCTGATCTTGTACTTCTTGCTTCTGCTGCACGCGAACCCGAAGGCTGAGAAACTTCGGGAAAGCCATTCTCATCACCCCTTGCTGGAGCGCAAAGCGCGGCCTGCACCACTCAGCTGAGAACTGGACACGCGCTTTGGGAAGGGGTGGGAACCCGGTGCTGGTGGGGACGTGTGTGCCCATGCATGCGTGCTTGGCACACGTGTACAGGTGCGTTTCTACTCATGCTTCTCTTTCTAAGACCAGGCTCAGGACTGGGCAGAGTACTGCCTTCGGGCACGTACCCAGAGCTCGGACTTTGCGCTTGGTGGTACGGGGTTTCATGTGGAGAGATCTCAGAATTCCTTCTTCCACAATTGGCAGGTGGAGCGCAACTCTTTCTGGAGCCTCAATCCGGGACCGGAACACAGCACGCCCTGCGAAGTCGCTGAGGGACCTGAACCTACAGCCGAGACCTTTGAATCTCCGTCAGCCCCGACTCCAACCAAGTTCCCGCAGCCTTGCGGGAGAAAGAGACCGCGGAAGGAGAGCCCCAAGGGGCGGGCGAAAGACAGCACAGAGGCGGCAGAGAGGGCGGAGGAGCGCCTCCCCTCGCTCCGCCCCGGCCAATCGCCGTGCGCTCCGAGCCTCGGCCCCGCCCCTCGCCGCCTCCTGCGGCCCGCGGGCCCGCCCGGGCCGGTAATAATTAGGCTGCGGGCGGGGGATGCCGCGTCAGCGCGGGGCGCCGGCCAATCCCCGAGCTCTTCCCCGCGGTCGCGTCACAGGCCGAACAACCAAACAGAAAAGTTTAATAAACAGCGGACGGAGGGGCTGGCGGCGGCGGGGCCGGAGCGAGCAGGGGTTCGGTGGCCTCACCTGTGCCCCTTTCACCGGCGGCGACCGGCGGCGGCGGGCAGCGCGTCAGGCGGAGAGGGCCGCCGCCAGGTGAGGAGTCCGGCTGTTGGGGCCGGGGCGGCCCAGCGCCGCCCCTCCCCCTCCGCTCCCTTCCCCCACCCGGCTGAGGCGAGGCCCGCCCCCGGCCCCTCCCGGCGCCGCGAGCCGGAAGCGGAGGGCGGCCGGCCGCCCGGCAGGCGCAGCAGGTGGGAGGCCGGCTGCCTGTCGCCGGCTCGCCCGCCCAGGCCCAGCGTTTGCTGGGTGCCGAGGGGCGAAAGGGTCCCGGCCTGGCCCTTCCTACGCGCGCCGGGCGCCCGCGGCCCCGGGCCGGCTTCCCGCGGGGAGTGTCGCACCGGGGTCGGGACCCTCTTCCCCTCAGGCGCGGGGGACGCCGCGCTGGCCGCATTCTGAGCAGTTGGGAGATGGGGTTCGGAGGGGCCGCGAGCCCCGTTGGGCGCGTCCCTGTCACCAGAACGCATCCTCCGGGTCTGAGGTCCTTTTTGGACTGTTTTTCCACCTGCAGTGTTTCCACACACCGGCGAGGAGGGGACGCCCCCCGCCGGACTGGACGGGGGCGGGTTCGGCGCCTGCCGCTGCTCCTGTTGGCGTGCTCGCGGTTTCGGGGCGTGCTTTCTCTCCTTTGAAACCGTACTTTCAAGTTTGCGTCTCCCTACGTGAACAAGTACAGAAGAATATTGTGTTTAAAATTATTTTAATTTTATTTTGAAATATTGTGCTAAGCCACACGGTTAAAACGCTGTGATAATTGATCTTCACAGCTAGAAAGTGGTTAACCAATGTGAAGAAGTTCAAGTTAAGGTCTCAGTGTTACGCACGACTTTTATTTAAAGTTGCCAGTAAAAACTGAGCAGTTTTTGATGCTCTGAGAAAGAGGATTAAATTCCTCTTTCACATCAAACTCGGAATTTGTTTTTTTTATGTGAAATACTATAAACTTTTAAGGTTAGTTATGTAATAATTATGTTACCAATTTTAGGACCTGGCCGAATTACTCTTACTCCAGGGCTTCAGTGGCAAATGTTCTCTTTCTGCAAAATGCGCACATTTAAATTTCCCAAACAAGTTGTCTTTTATCTTTTTTTTGAACGTTTTAAAATACATGTAAGGGAGGCAGAACTCGCCCAGGTACAGGAGGAAAATTTAGGGGTTGGTGGGTTATTTATTAGCTTGATTCTAGCGATGATCTGTGTATGTGTCAAAACTGATCACATTTTACACTTTAAGTATGTGCAGTTTATTGTATGTCAGTTATAGCTCAATAAAACCGTTTTTTAAAAAGCAAAAAAAGTATTCAAAAGATGTATTTAATACCACAAAAGAATACATAACACCATATAGTATAAAGAGAGAAAACGTGATGAAAATCCTTGACTCCTCCCCTCAAACAAGAACTGGCGCACTTCCAAAACTTACCTCTGTCCTGTGCTCCTGCCTCTCCTGACCGAGGGAATCATTCCTGTCTAGTCGATTTTGTGTTTATCATTCCCTGGCCTTTAAACTAGTTTCATCACATATATTTGTATGTTCAAACAATGTGTTTAGTTTTCTTTGGCGCTTTATGAGGATGGTGTGACACTTCATTGCTGTATAATTGTGTTAATATTCCATAACTCATGGCCATTTAGATTATCTTTTTTATTTTGTTTTGCTATCACCAACTGTGCTCCATGAACATTTGTTTCCTGGCTCTTGGTGTCCAAATGCAAGAGTGTCTCTAGAGTAAACAATGTAGGAGGCGTTAGAAAGTTTTAGGTAATCAGGAGTAAAATAGATTGAAATACTAGAAACAAGAGGAATGAAAAACTGTAGGATTCTCTTTTATGTTTTAATGGAAGATTCATAACCATAATGATTGATTCATAGTTTTTGAACATTTGTGTGAGAAACCAAGAATCCCGTTAATCTGTATATAGTGAGTCTTTTCCTTTGAAATCACATTGTAAGAAGTCAGGCAGTATTTGCTATCTAGTGTTTCAATGCAATGTAAATATAGTAGGAAAAAGCACTTGATTGTATGTAAAATAAATCACTCTGTGTATCCATCCCTCCTCCTTTTGTATAATCTTTGCCAAGTTACTTAAAACTTCTCTTGTGCCTTAACATACTCATGTAAAAGGAACGTGTCCTGAGTTTATCCTTCCAGTCTTGCAGACTTCAATTAAGGGAAGCACCTATCAAATGGCAGAAACTTGAAGGAAAAGGATTAGGATCAAGGTGTTTTTCTGTGGAATTACATTGAGTGTGTCCTTTGGAACATTCTGCAGAAAGATGTGTGTTGTGTATTTATCAAGATATGTTAACGACACACTTAAGTCCTTTTTATTTCCTTAGCCTCAGATTTGGGAGTGCCCCAAGGTGTGCTTCTCGAGCCATCTGTTTTATCATGCTAATAGCAATGCAGTGACAAATAAGGGAGCAGTATTAACTTCCTGAAAATGGTGTGTGTGCGTGGGCGTGCATGCACGTGTGTGTGTGTGTGTGTGTGTGTAAGTAATACGAGTTTAGAACTTTGAATAACCTGTTTTTGTTTAGAGACGTGTGAGTAGAGATGGTTTGATTGGTTTTTTAACAGGGTATGTAGCTTGCAGACACACATCACAATGCTTTGTTTCGGTAGGGCTGTTGTATCTTGCTTAGAAAAACCTCATTTTTGTATTTGATTTTAAGGGCACTGTGTTTTGGGGTTTTTTCTCCCAAACTTTCAGAAGAAATAGAAAGTCACAAAGAAAAAATAACCATTGTTAACATTTTGGCAGGTGTACCCCTCAGTCCTTCTGTTTGTGTATATTCTTCATATCCTAAACAATTAAAAGTTGAATTCTGAGCAATATTATGCAGCCTCTACCTTCAAAACTTATTCCAAATATGATCCATCTCAACATCTTTCTTGTGCATAAGATGGTAATAGTAGTCACCTAACTGCCATCCCTGCATCAACTTTCACTCCCTTGTGGTCTATTCATTGTTCCTGTGGAGAACAGTCATTTAAGCGTGTAAATTATATTACTTTACTCGCAGGCTCACAACCTTCTAATGATTTTTCTTTTTCTTTTTTGAGGAAGATTAGCCCTGAGCTAACATCCACGCCTGTCTTCCTCTACTTTATATGTGGGACACCTGCCACAGCATGGCTTGCCAAGTGGTGCCATGTCCGCACCCCGGATCCGAACTGGCGAACCTCGGGCCGCCGAAGTGGAACGTTCCTACCTAACTGCTGCATCACCAGGCTGGCCCGTCTAATGACTTTTCAATACACAAAATAAAATTTCAACTTTTTACTATGATACTTATACCCTAGACCAGGAGTGTCCATTGGAAATATAACGGGAACCACAAATAAGAGCCCCATAAGTAATTTAAAATTTTTTATGATAGCCACATTTACAAAAAAAAAGAGAGAAACAGGTGAAATACATTTTATTTAGCCCAAAATATCATGATTTCAACAAATAATCAGTATAAAAATTACTAACGGGATATTTTACTTTCCTTTTTTGACTCCGATGTGTGTTTCCACTTAAAACAGATCTCGGACTAGCCTTGTTTCGAGTGCTCAGTAGCCACACATGACTTGTGGCTACCAATTGGATGGTACTGGTCTAGACTATCTGGCTCTGCCAGCTTCATGGACCAATCTCCTACCACTTTCTCCCTGACTCATACACCTCCAGCTATACTGGCCTTTTTGGGGTTCTTGAGCAACCCACGCTGATTCTCTTAAAATTGTCATTCCTCCTGCCTACAACATTCAATCATATTTCTGCTCAAATATCACTCCTTCAGAGATGCTTTCGCAGGCCACCTTCCCTGATTACCATATTATCCTGCTTCATTTCTTTACAGAACCTATCATGTCATAAGATTTTTTTGGTTATTGTCTCTATCCCCTTCTTGAATGTAAACTACTGGAGGGCAAGGATTTCCTCATGTTTACCATTAGATCCTCATATATTAAAAATAGGATTTTTAGGGCTGGCCTGGTGGCACAGCAGTTAAGTGCGTACGTTCTGCTTCGGTGGTCCGGGGTTCACCGGTTCAGATCCCGGGTGCGGACGTGGCACCGCTTGGCAAAAGCCATGCTGTGGTAGGCGTTGCACATATAAAGTAGAGGAAGATGTGCACGGATGTTAGCTCAGGGCCAGTCTTCCTCAGCAAAAGAGGAGGATTGGCAGCAGATGTTGGCTCAGGGCTAATCTTCCTCAAAAAAAAAAAAAGATTTTTAAAGGGCACATACCATTTCATCATACAAAAGTACTATAATTTAACCAGTCACCTATTGTGTGTAACTTTATTCTTTTTTCACTATTAGAGTGTGGTGAAGATCATCTTAAGAGCTAAATCTTTCTATGTCTTTCTCATTTCTTTAGGATTCAGTCTGTCTTATAACTGCTGAGTCAAAGCATATGAACATTTTTTTGTCTTTTGATAAATATTTCCAAATCTTGTCTTAAAAGTTTGACTAACATAATATAAAGTTGACCAAACCAGTATAAAGTTTGACTAAAAATAGGAGAGAATATCCATTTCTTCCATATCCTTACCAACACTGAGTATTTTCTTTCCTGCCTTCCTTCCCTTTTCATAAGATTTATTATATAATTCTTTAATTAATTATGATGATGAACAGAGATATGGGTATTGGGATCTTTTAGTTTGTCTTTTACTCATTTTGGGTAGTATTTTTTATTTGTGATACCCTTTTTAGCCTTTTATATATTTAGGATAGCAACCCTTTGCCACAT